TTTGAGTGGTTATCAAGACTAGAAAAGTGACCAGAAACAGCAGCGACAGTGATTGTCTGTCTGTCATTGAAGAAGCAGAAAGACAGACACTGGTGTATCATCACCACTGCTCCAACGGCATTGGGGACTGGCTGCTCAGAGAGCATTTTGTACCGGTGTGTGGTCACTGCAGTCCAGAGGCAACTCACAGCAATCGCTCTCACAAATGTTCATGTGGTTCTTTGCCTTTTGATTAATTCATTATCTTTTTGGGATTAGTTGTAGTCGGGGGTGCATCACTTTTATTATTAAAGTATTTGGAGTGCTCCTGTAAAATGATTGTGGGTATATATATCCTATAAGACCACAGTGTTAGCATTTACAGTGGCTAACAGTAGTTGTTACATTCTGAAACAGTGGTAGTGGTTGACATTATCTGAGGCTTTTTTTTTAGGTTGTCCTCCCTCAGTAGTAGACAGCAGAAGAATATCACATTATCTTCTTATAAAAATCACTTGAAGAAAAAGGATTAATGTACCATTAACATTAATTGTTTATGACAGTTAAGACCTTGGTGTCACTCCCACTGTCCCTTTACACCCTCAGTCAGTGTTGCCAAATGGGAAATGTTGCGGTATCGTACCAGAAGCTCAAAACTATCGTATTTTGAAAAAATTTATGGTACATAACCAGAGTAGGGATGGGACGCTCAATGCTGTCATTTCGAATCTGTGTCGAGATTCTGAAGTTATTTAGTATGCAGAAACAATCTTTATAAGGCACAAGGCTAGTATTTTGAAACATGAGACTGAAGAGGACTTGTGTCAATCTCGCAACACACAAGCCACGGCATCATGACGAGACAGTCACGTACATCCTCACAAGCATGATTGGCTGAAAAGACTTCACGTTAGAAGAGATGCGTAAACACAGACGTGATCCATATTTTGCTACCCAGATTAAAACTGAGAGTTCTAAGTGTCACAAAAAGATCAAATTATTCTACATCATGCTTTACTGGTTGTATATTGTACAGAGTGCAAGATTATCATACAAATATGATAATTATCATACATACGGCAACACTGCCCCAAGTGTTCAGGTTGTCCTGATTTCTTTTTTGTCCTAAATACAGGGCCATAGTTGTATTTAGACCAGATTTTAGGGGTACACATAGAATGTACAGCTATTAGACCATAAAGAGATATTAGCAGAATTAATATGGCTTAACTTATGGCATTAACAGCATTGTGATCTTTCATATGTGAAAACAAGAACAACATACACTGTACTGTAGCATCCCCGATTCACAACCAATGAAGTAAAGCTCATTATTTTACTATCCGTGGTGTTACATGAGGCAGTGTGAGGTGGATCCTCAACTGCCTGTCAGAAAGTTGTGGAGCTCATTTGAAGTTTGCCTTTGTTTTCACTCTCACCCTCTTGCTGTAACATTTCAGCTGCGTGTTGACGGGTTTATCTGTTAGACTGCAGGCTGATGAGGCGCACCGTGGCGTGTTTGGACTTCCTGATTAGTTGACACAAAATAGGGAAATTGTGGCATGTGGTGAAAACGCCTCATGCTGTCACAGGGAATGCACCTGCTCAGGTTGAATGAATCTCTCTCCGACTTTACCTCTTTCTGTGTATGTCTCTATCTGCTTCTCTCTTCTCATTAAGACTTCTGCAGCCTTCAGGTTCCATTGCAATAATCAATACTATGTTTATGAGACCAATAATAAATTGGTACACACAGTATGTCAAATTTGCAAGCTTTTCTATGCAGCTAGTTAAAAGCCTGATTGCTTCATAGCGCCTGCTTACAACTAGATTTCTGGAAAGACTCACATAGTTTTTTATTTTGGCACAATATTTTTTAATAAATAAAAACATAGACTTTGCTCGATCCTTTTCCTTCTGCTAATATAGCGTTTTAAACAAGAAACAGCAGCCATTATATCAGACTCAGTCTCACACCCTCAGGGGCCCAAAGGACCAAGTTCACCGTATGACTGTTATTTTGTGGCAATTTGATAAATCGTTCCATTCAAAGAGAACATCTTTCCTTGACCATGGAAACAGCTGCTTTACATAACAATGCTGACAATACCTCATCGCTTCAAACAGATCTAACTATCTGTTTTTCAGACATGACATTTTGTTTTGCACACATGCACAACACAGCAGGAGGTTCTCTGCACAGACACATTCACAACAGCAACAAATCCTCAGCTTTATTCATTTTCGGGTCTCTACCTTTTATATGTTAGGATTTGTCAAATAAAAGTGAACTGAATTGATCTTTCTTTTCTGCATCCGTTAGAAGCTTCAACAACTCCCCACTCGCTGAAGCAAAATAAAAAAACTGATGATTTGTAGAAAATGTAGATATTTGTGTTAAAATGTAGGGAGTAAAAGGAAATAGTCGTCAGAAACATAGATATGGTACAGATAGAAAATACACTTGACAGTGCAACAAGTTGCATCTGTGGTTGCTCATCTATGGCAGGGGGTCTAAACTTCAATCTCTTAGTTTTATCAAAGCAACTTTCAGTCAGACCTGGAGGATTCAATGGCCATGTACTGGAACTAGATGGAAGATGTAAGTGCTGCTGGTTGAGTACCCCCAGTATGACTAACACTCTCATCACTCCAACCAAATGAAATGTCAGTGATCAGTCACTCCACGGTTTCCTCAGTCACGTGGTCGTGTCACTTGCTTCCTGTGGGGCTGAATGAATCGATCCAATCAGGAGACGTACATGTCTGAGAATTGAGGAGCACCTGAAGGCAGCTTCACTCTTAGAAACCACAGATATTCTATACTTAAGTTTGAGATCTCTTTATATGTATACTTGATATATGTATATATGCATGTGCTGTGGAGTTGCAGGCGTTGAGTTTCCACGCTCTCTTTCTCTCTCTCTATCTATGTAGGGCAGCACATGGATCAGCTGACATCCCCATCCTCCCACATGCCCACACAATCTTGTTAAAGCATGCAGTTAATCTGAAGTGGAAAAGGACTCTCTTCACAAGCAAGCGCCGCTTTCATCACCCTATTGTATTGCCCACATCACATTGTCACAGGAATATCGGATTCTCCCAAAACTCAGGTGCCCGGGAGGAAAGGTTGCGCTCTCATATTTGGCTCTGTGTGATGTCTTTTCCCTGGGAGTGACTTTGTAAACGGGTTATTATGTAGCTCTCTCGTTGGCATTGTGTTGCCGTAAGAATAAAGTTATGTCAGTGTAGACTCTCTTTTACTCTTAAAAGTTGTCTGTTCCATCAATAATTTGTGAAGTGCCCCCAGAGAGATGAAACAGAGGAGATAGAGGAAGGTGCTTTCCAGTAAAACGCCCTGGAAGAAGCCTTCAGTCTTAATTTAAGGAAATCCAGCTCATGTTCTATGTATTTAATATTCAAGTACATGCAACAAAAGGAGGAAAACACACAAGTGCTCTCTTCACTTCTTCTCCGGCCCATGTGTGTCTCCATCTTTCTCTTTTCAAGAGCTTATTGAAAACTCAGGGGTCTGAACTCGTTCGGGGCCTCGGCTCCCATCATCATCTTGCAGGCCAGGTGAAGTGCAGTGATTTGATGGACACAGATACGCGGCAGCGCTCCTACACGGCAGCGCTCAAAAGGCCTCTGATTGAATTGCCACTCACTGCTCTGCTGTTGCCGCTCTACATTCACAGGCTGCCCCAACACAGTGTTTAAGAGACACAGAACAAGAGGGTCATCCATAAATGCAGGAAGGGCTCCGTCCTGGCCCTTGTTTGACGGGAGAGGTATTGTCTGGAACATGGGAAGGCAGAGAGGTAGTGGTGGTGGTGAGGGGGTGGACCGTGCTATGTCTGTTTGTCCCCGCCAGTGAAGTGGCTCAAAACCTTGAGACCCCCGAACTCCCGCTCAAACATTTCTGTGTCTTTATCGGCCCCACAAAGAGCCTCTCGCCTTTATCATCTGAGGAGGAATATCTCAAAAGCGCCTTCCATCTCTCTCAAGAGAGGGAACAAGAGCAAATTGCGTCGAACTTGAACAACTCCCACATAATCACGAGCGTGCTTTTTCAGACATAATAAAAATGCACTGAGCTCTCAAAAAGGCTTCCATGGGCTGATTGTGCTCGAGAGGAAAATGAACCTTGACGAATGAAGCGAACCTCTTCACTCGCCTCCTACTTGTTATACTGTGTGAGGTGTCTCTACATTGACTACATCAGACTGTTAATTATTCAGCCTCAGCCCGAAGGTGACTAAATCTTTTAAATTAATTCATCACATGACTCACACAGGGAGATGTTCAAAGAGAGGAGATGTTCAAACCTAAAACCCAACAAAAAAACACCAGTTCAGAACTGCCTCTGTGTTACTGTGCTGCTCTTTCACAGGTTTATTCCCCCGATGTAACATGACATGCATGTTCCACTCAAGTAAACACTGTATGTTTTAGTGCGCTGCTTTGGTTGACTTGGCAACACTGCCATCTCATGGTGATCAGAGGAAAAAATGTGCACCACATGCTTTTCTCAAGCATCTTTATTGGAAAATGATTATTAATTAAAACAATACATGTTATCATCATCTTAAACTGCTGTACTGATTCCTATCATTTAATGCTGTTTCCTGTGAAAGCTGTCATTTTATCAGAAACATATGCACAGCATAATTAAACCATATTACTGTCACTGATTAAAATGAATTTGTTGAACTGTAAAGCAACCAGCTCGGTTCATTCTTATATGAAGCAAACTGACGGTTCATCTTAAACCTGTTGAAGTAGTTTTCCTCAGTGGAGGTTCCTCCCCTGACGGACTTTTTTGAAAGATTTTATCAAAGAGAGCTGCATAAATTCATGTCTGATCTTCTCAGTAGGGACATTCTCTCTTCTCCTGTGGTCTATTTCTGGTCACTGCCCCTCCAGAGGACTGACACGGTCTCCCTGGATGAGGCTTGGATACACCACCCCACCCCACCCAAGGGCCAAAGTCATGCCTCACGGCATTTTGAGCCTTTCTAGACGTGGATACCTTTCTGATCTTCCTCCCTGTCGGTGCCCCCCTCTGTGTCTGTATGACAGCTCTGCTCTCCACACCACTCCTCCCTCCCTACATCCTCTTGCTTCTCCTCCTCCCCGCACTGCTGGGTTCCACACCTAGGGACTAGAGCAGCGCACCTCTCCAAACCCCACTCCTCCACCCGCTGCTCACACTGCACCACAAAGATTCGGTAAAGCTCCAGCAGGACTATGACAATGTTCTTGCAGGTGAAGAAGATCATGAGCTGGTTGAGCACCTGCTCCTGAACCATGAGGTAGAGCCGGTAAACCAGGAACGGGCCATCTTGGAGTCCCACTGTAAGCAGCAAGCTCCACACTTCGCTAGAGCAGCAGGATGTGGACGAGGGTGGAGCTCTGGTGCAGCAGAGGAGACCACCTTGGCTATTCTGAAGAGACTCACCCTTCAGGGGTTGTGTCTGAGTGAGAACCAGAGGAAACTGCATGAGTGCCCATGAAAAAAGGGCCAGGCCGATAATGACGACCGCCCGGTTGGTTTTGACTTCAGGCTCCTTAAAGGTGTCGAAGATGTCCAGGATGTCAGCGCCCAGTCCAACGTAAACCATGAGGAGCTGGGATAGCTGGTCCCGGGACATGTCCCCCTTGGGCATCAGCCAGCGACCCATAACCAGCACGATGAGCATGGTTTGCTCCAGGCCAGCCACCCAGTTCTCCGGCTCCAGCTCCACGATGCCCTGGGGTCAAGGAAACAGCAGCATCTGGTCACATTAAGAGCATTTGTCTAATGAGAAAATCCAATTTGAAATAAAATAGAGAATTTCATTTTCCCTTTCACTGGGTTCCTTTGCTGTTTCACTTTGTTTCTGATCAGCTGTTTGTACTGTGAATATATTACATCATTAAATCATGGTGGGTGTAAATGTCGTCAGTGAAACACAATCATCCGCACAACAACACGGTACTCTCTGGTGTGGATATGATTCTGATGGCCTGTGAGTCAGCTGTTTGTTGTGTCAGGGTTGGTCGAGTTCATCTTCACAGCGCCAGTTAACGTTTCACAAAGTTCCCGAAAAACAGTGCGTCCTCAGAAGCTGCCACCCAGCCTCGAGCACAGCCAAGGGGCAAAAAAGCTCCCAAATCCTACATGAAAGAAACGGAGCTGAAGCCATCCCAGAAGGAGAGAGATCTGAGAGTTTTTCTTCAAGCACAGAGTTATCTGGACCTCATCTCAACGTGTCTATTACAAATTTCCTGCATCTAATAGTTTATCCACCCGCCCCCCTTCGCCTGATTCGAATCTTATCAGATATCAGGTGTTCCCCTTTTAATGTGGCTGTGCAGGAGGGTGAGGCACAGTGGGTGGTGTTGTGGCGGGATGCCTACCGCTGTGATCGGGATCTGAGCCAGCAAATGAAGCTCTGGGCCTGAGGAATTGTTGACGGGCAGCTTGGACTGCAGCAGGCTCAGCTCCAGAAACCAAATGGATGGAATGACAGTGCTGAGGTAGAGGAAAACCATGGGGGAGAACCTGAAACAGGAGGAGGGAGGGGAAGGGTGGGGTTGGATTATTTTTAGTGACACTTTTTTGAACGTATTTATTTATTTATTTTCCCCCCCCCCCCCTGTCTTTTACCCCCAAAAGAAGCATTGAATTTCAGACAGGCAATTATTCTCATCATATATGCAAATCCCACTTGACAGTGCAAAGCCTTCTCGACGAGGAGAGAACTTCAAAGTAAGACTCACTGAGAAAGAGAGAGGCCTGAAGAAAGCTTGTGTCAGAGGATGTTCACCGACTACAAACTGGAGAGCTACAGCTTTTGAATGCGACCCGATGTTGAATGAGGTGTGACACCAAACGCTCGTGTCCTTTTTGAGTCTCAAATTTTAAAGGTCGATGTCAGTTTATGTTTAGTGATTTTAAAAAGAAAGAAAAAGAAGCGAGCTGGTCAGAAACGACTGAAGCCAGCAGGAGACAACCCCTCCGTGATTGGATAAGAGAGGCTGTGACAGAGCTCAGAACGTCAGCTCGCTGGAAGACAGTAATAACACAGCGGAGGGATAGATTTGTTGATGATAGACAGCGAAAGCGAGACGCAGCCGCAGAGGATCACTGAGAATTTAAAAGCGGGGGATAATATCAGAGGCCTCACTCTCGCCGCCGCGGGCAGATGGGTTCTAAAGTGCAATCACAGTTACACTCTCCACAACAACTCCACACACACAAGACAGTTTAACAAAGTCGAGCTCCACACAACACCTCCACCCTCAAGTCACCATCTTTAAAAATAAAAAAAGAAGTGCAGATTATACATCTATGTAATTTAACTTTAATCCTAAATAAAGCAGAAGAAAGAACCTTTCACACTTACTAAAAGAATTTGTTATTTCTTGTTGTCTATCCATTGAAGGGATATTACAGCAACTTTACTATTCAGAGGAATCTGACTCATTTATTGATCACCATTCAACCAAGTTGGTGGAATTATTTTGCGATGCAGCATAGAGCAGCGTGAGTTAAAAGTGCATTGACATTATGATCGTTACAGAGACGTCAGAGTCCTTATGGCTGTGGGGAAAAACGGTTTTTGAAAGGGGAGGATAATTGGGTGGGCAAAGATCTGTTAGAGGGTAAGAGTTCAAACTCGTGATTGGTTGAGCGTGTGTATTCTGCCTGTACCAGTCCAATTCCTCACTCAATTGTAATAATGCAATCTGTGATAAAAGACCAGTATAAGCCTTATCTCGATATAAACCAGAATATAGGTTGAATGTTGGGTTTATCTGCATGCACGTTACCATTTCCACTCTGCGTTACGGGTGCACTTCAGAGTGACAGCCATTTCCACACCCAGCAGAGCCACGCCCGTCAGCAACAGCCAATAGAGTGGCTCCCCTTTAACGGCCACCACACGCCACACCGTCACCACCCCGTGGACCGCAAACAGGAAGCGGCTCAGCAAAGCCAACAGGATGTTCAAGAGTCGACACATTCTTGCTGCAGAAGACCTGTAGACGAGACAGCTTTATGGTGTATTGTTTTATGAGACTATGAGAAATTAAAAATGTTTTCCCGATGAAAACAAAGTGTAGTGTTTGCTCATATAATGTCTGTTTTTGTTAGAGATTGACTGAGCCACTGACTTTCACTGACACACAGCGTGTTAATAGAAGAACATAATGTTAAAAGGACTCTGGGGAAATTCCTATTGTATCAACAATGATCTGTTGAAGCTTACGCAAAAATAATTTACACCTCAAACTTTAGTAAACAAAGTCTCAGAGGTCACAACAATAAAGTGCTTTATGTTGTTTGGAATTTAATTTAATTTCTTATTAAATTATATAATACTGTAATAAACTTAATGTCCAGCAGTGCAAATGGAAACGTGCCAAAGGACACTTCAATTTGATGCATTTTGCACTAAATTTAAGGAGTAAACTCAGGCAGAGCATCAGTGCGAGGCGTCCAAAAACCAAACTGACTGTGAAAGATTAGTAAACACTTACTGTGTGTAACCACCTGCATCATTACACATCAAACCCCACAGTTCGGCCGCCATTATATCAATAGCTGCTGCATGGTGTCAGTGTGAAAACAGTCCTCGCTGTCAATTAGTCAGCGAGATTAAAGCTTTCTAAGCTTTCGGGGGAATTCAAAGTAAGCAGTGATTAGTTAGCAAGAGTTAGACAAATTGATCTGCAGTCAATATGAAAGGACTCCAGGAGGCTTTGAATGCATTTGCTTAAATGTGATCTCTGGATCTCTGTGGATTATTTTGATGCTTTGAAAACATTGTTAAATGACGGGGCATCCTGGACGCCTGGTGGCTCAGGTGCACACGATAAAACCCAGTTTGGCCAGGAACATTTGTCAAGTCACACCCCTCTCTCCCTCACCATGGTTCCTGCCTGAAGTTATCCACCCAAAATAAATCAAAAATATGCCAATGCCACTTTGTAATAAATCAGCTTTATTACAGTTGTCTGGATTTCCGCAAGGTTTAAAAAAGTCTAAAACAAAAGTCTAAAACAAAAGTCTAAAACTCAATCAACTGAATTTAAAGCATTAAAAAGTCTTACAAATGTTAAAATGTAACATATTTGATCTTAAGGACTTTTAAGTGAATCTTAATTATGTAAATGGTAAATTACTGCTATAACTACTCTGTCACACTCACTTTAAAATGAGTTTTATTATTCAAGAGAATGTTTTGCATATTGTTTGTAACATTTCTGTGTGCTCTTAATGTGTGTAATCTTAATAAATCTCACTTTCGAGTAAACTTCATTAGTCATCAACAAAGGGTTAAATCCAGTTAAAAACACATTAGCTGGGTTTGTGTCATATGAGAGGAGGGATCTTTGACAACCTGACAACTCTAAATGTGTTATTATTAAAGGCTTGTAATTGAGCTACAAATCATTAGTACATCATTTATTCAACATACATAAAGTAAGTAGTTACATAAATGAAATGTAAGCCTTCTGAAGTGTGTCTTATTCAGACTGAAAGCCTCGCTCTTTATCTTTATCCTGCTTTAACTCGACAGAACTCAGCTCTCTCTGTAACTGGTCTGTGTCTAATACAGGGAGAGTGTTATGTGCTGATATCATGAATACCAATCTGCCTTAAACAGAGTTCATGCAATATGTATGACTGCATGCAGTACAGACCTACAGAGTAAGCTGGACTCCTCGCTGAGACCGGTTTCCTTCGCTGTGTTTCCCCAAAAGTTCTGATGCTGTGTAGCAGAAAATGATAAGACCACAACAGCAGTCACACACAGTGGCCTGCTCTGAGCCTGTCTGCCTCTGCCTTTGAAATGACAACCACCTCCTTGACTCCACTAGATGAGAAGGCAAAAGTTATATATGTGTGTGTGTGTGTGTTTGTGTGTGTGTGTTCAGTGGGTGAGTGACTGTTGTTCAACTCCACTGGAGTAGACTATCAGTAAGCGTTAGTGCGTTCCACAAAGTGTATCTGTGTGTGTCTCCGTCCCTTCGGTGCCACTGTAGGAGATAACGCTTCCTGCCCCCCCTTGCGCCCACATCTTCATCGCCATCCGTCATGATGTCACCTCTCCTGGCCCAGAACAAAGTTATCTCCCTGGGAGAAGCTGGTCCGTCGCGCTCCCTGTTCGAAAAGCACCCAGCCCTGGCCCGCTCCCACCCATGCCTGCTCCGGCCCTGCACTGCCGGCCCTGATAACGGTCTCACTCTCCATGGCCGCCACACACACATATAAACATGGAGCAGCAGGAGGGGAGAGGGGATGCTGACGGCCCCCTGAGCAATCACTACAGCGGGTTGGTATGTGACTGCTGTTGCATCAGAATGAGGACGCCGTGCGGGTCAATGCTGCCCACGAATGCCAAGTCTATCAATCCACTAAACCACTAGAGTGAATCAAAGACGGAGGAGTTATAAGAGGTTTTTTATTATTTAGTCAGTGTGTAAATCCTAAACATTGGTCAGGAAATAATCAGTGGAGCCATGACGTTGTCCCAGCATGCTCTTCTGATGTTTTTTTTACTGCCTGTCAGTGAGGCCTGTACGATCAGATTTATTTGGCCTCTAAACATGTGAATGAACGAGCAGTTTACACATCTAGAGAACATAGAGAAACATATGTGTTTTCTTCTCTCATTATTTGTCCTGTGGTCACAGATGGTTTCTTTAATTTTAGTTAGTTCTTATCACACTGGTGTAAATGTTTCTGTTATGTTTTGATTAGTAATATGATTCTATAAAAAGGGGTGAAACGTCAAAACATCCATCCCCCAATCGCTACTGTGCAGGTGCAGACTCCAAATGTGCAAGATGGCAGCGTTCATATCTGGGATGTTTTTGGTTTTCATTTCTGGATGGTGAGAAGAAGTGAAGATGCATCAGCCAGTCTTTATATACAGTCTATCTGTATGACCCATTGGAGCAGACCAGTGACAGGCATAGCAAACCTTTCTTCACCGCAGAAAGATCCAGATCAAATAGAACAACTTACATGCAAGACCTTTTACCATAACCTTACCACTGTACATTCATTAATTCATATCTCAACATATAATTCTGGATTTTTTCACATTTGTCCGATCTAAATGTTGTCATTAGTTTAGAGACCTGTACTAATATTGATCATTTGAGATAGGTTTATTTAAATTAATACATTTTAAAAAATGAAATCATAAATAATCATTTATAGTGGATATTCATGGTCCCCAGAGAATTCATCCTAATGTTGGTGACCCACTGATGACTTAAACATTATCTAAAGATCAAATTAAACTGATGTAGTAAAATACCTGAGAGCAAAGTGATAATACAGTGATGCTGACTCTAATAAGAAAAAATGTGACAGAAGCAGTAATGCTTTCTTGTCCCTCAGTTTCCCAAAATCTATTTCTCAGTTCAGACGACAGACAAGAGTGTGAAATTATTAATAGAGCACAATTCTTGGCCACCGTTGGCTGAACATGCAAGTCAATTATTAATGATCCCTCAAATTAGAGCCTTTTTTTCAGCCTACGTGTTGAACTCATATTCACTGCAGCTAATATTTTTGTTTTTGCTAAATGATTTAGCATTTTTATTACTAAATACACCAAACAAGGTTTCAGATTAAAGTGGCCATTAGAAGCCAGGAAAGCCACACACACACATAGGTAGTGGAGAAGGTCCTTTAATTGTGGGGAAACAGGCAGAACTGGCAGCAGGAGATAAAGACACTCCAGACTGTGTCCTAAACAAAAGATGAATTGAAAAAAAAACTGGGTGGAGGACCAAAGAAGAAAGAAGTAAAGAGAAGGGCGGGGTGGTGATGTCCAGGGACGAGGGTGAGGGAGTTATCAGCCATGCAGAATAGTAGTAGTAGACCTCATCGTGTTATCCTCGTGTTTGGGCGGCACTTCTGCTTTTTTTTTCGAGATAACAGGCGGTTCACTCCAGATTGTGGCTTCGAGTTAGTTCAGCTAACGTATGCTTAGAGATGTGAGCGTGTGGTCGGTGCTGCAGGGCGTTCAAGCAGGATGGTTTGCTCTAAAGTCCAGTGTTGAGAGAGTTCATATAACAGGATGATGTGGAAATCTGGATTGTTGCAGTCACTGAGCGCGTGAATCTCCAACACCTCGTCCTTTTCCTTCGTGTAACAGTTCTGCATTTGTATTTAAAGATGTGAAGATCTGTTAACTCGTCACTACTTCCATTAATTACCACACATTCACAGGTTGTAACACCTCATTTCTTCTGAGGTTTTTTTTCCCACTGAGGCCTGCAGTATATTTCAGCTGCACCAGTCCGACAGCACTGAAGTGGCACAGCTCCAGCAGGTTCTTATATACAGCCTTTGGACGGCAGCCACTCGCACAGGCCTGCTGCCTGCTCCTCACATGGTGTATGCCACCCAGTAGATCACATTCACCACGGCGAAAGTGAAAGGGAACACGGCCCTGGCGTAGATGTCGATGGTGTCGGCATCGATGGGCTTGCAGACGCACTTGGAGCAGCACTTCTTCTCCTCCTCGCTCTCCTCCGGCTGCTTGGACCGTCTCCTCCTTGGCTCGGCCTCCTCTGTGCCGCCCTCCCCAGGGATTTCGCTGCTTGAGCGCTGGGTCCGACCTTGGCGGCTTGAAATCATCACACCCTGGTTCATGCCAGTTACCGACAGGGAAAACAGAACCATGGCCTGTTTGCCGTTCTTTACAATGGACTGCGGGGAGACAGAGAGAAGAGCTGGTAAGTGTTCTCTGAGGCGTTACCTGGTGGAGTTTAGAATTCTATTTTTACAATATAACACGCAAAAGTAACAGTTAGCCCATCTGCCTTCTAGTGGACTAGATGTGTAAAGTACAGATAAATGATAAAATTTCAAAAACATTTTAAATCTGATATCCCTCAAATTTACAGGTTTTATTTGGAGTCACTTGAAAGGAAAACAAATCTAAAATGTTCAGTCATAATAAGACAAGATTTTACAAGAATAAAGTCATAATATACATTTTTTGGCTTTTGTTTTTAATCAGGTGACTTTCTGAGGAGGAGGAAATGTTTGGTAATGGTCGACTGCAGGGTTATCGTTGGTTACATCTGTGTGAAACTCCTGATTTCTCGAGAGACAATGAGATTAGTTTAAGATGTGGGATCCAGGAGTGGAACTCCAGTAAGCATGAGTTCTCCTTGCTGCTTGTCACCTAAAACATTTTTATTCTTCATCAGTATTCTCAGAATATTACTTTTTGTAATTAAAAAACAACTTTATTCGTGTAATATTACAATTTTGACTTGATTCTCATAATGTTAGAATTCCCTTTCTTCATTATTGCCCCAATACTCCATCGTAGAATAAAACATCTTATTCTAATTTCTTTTTAAATACACCCTTTTTACTTTTTTTCCCCTAAACACTTATCATAAGATATTTTGATAATGAAACATTAATGTACAGAACTACATAAAAAAAGCCACTTCTAAAAAAAATAGAGATTTTGAATTCCTCGAGTTCAGTCCAGATAATTAAAGAAAAACTATGGTTTATTATAGCTTGAGATTTTACAGGAATTTTAATACGATTTCACTGCAGTTTTACTCACATCAATACTGCAACGTGTCTCCCTTCACATTTAACATTAATATTCAATTTCACCCATTTTACTCATTCTTTCTTGTCTTTGGCCATATTTTTCTTGTGTTTTGAGAATCTCCTCAGTTTTTCTTTCATATTTCTTTATTTAAGAAAAATACAATCATGGCAGATCGTATTCTAAAGTTAGCTTCAGTAAGATGAGCATCTAAAACAAAGGAAACAGACAGTATGAGGACAATCACTATTATTCCCTGTGGGCAAATTTTCCCATCATGCTCTACAGAAATGAATTGTTTTGTTGAAGGTCAGTGGGATGGATGCTTGTCAGCAGTGGTGCTGGAAGTGCAGACCAGGTCTGTGTTTGAGAGGCACACTCATTACTCATAACAGCCCCTGCAGCCACGCATAGTTATCTGCTGATGGAAGAACATGATGGGAATGATGTCCTCACCTCAGAGCTGAGCTTGTTGGCTTTCACCTTGGCCTTCTCCTTGAGTCGGTAGTCAGCGTTGTAGTGAGCAAAGGCGTACTCTATGAGCGCCGCAAACACAAACACGTAACAGATCCAGAAGTAGACATCCAACGCCTTGATGGCTGATGCTCGCGGCAGGGAGGAGCGGGCGCTCACCATCAGGGTGGTCATGGTGAGAACAGTTGTGATCCCTGTAGAAAGAGGGGAAGTACAAACATACAGATTAGGCTTTTGTGTGTTAGTGGTACGGTTTTGTGGATGGCAATGTCAGCCACTATGGTCCAAACTGCAATATCCATTGGGTGGATTTCCAGGATTATCACCGGCAGCATTTTAAAAGATTTACCTTGTAAACATTTCAATATCGACTGTGTGGATTGGCCAATAATTCTGTGCAGACTTTAACTGGTTCCTGAAAGAAGAACCTTACGTGATCCCCTGATGTTTCCTCCAGCAGCACCATGAAGTTCAGGTTTTCAGTGAAACGTGTGAAAAACTGATGGATGAACTGCCATAAAATTTGGCTCAGAGTGAATAGTTAAAATCTGCTTTATGTTTGCAGAACTATTGACATTCCCATCATTTAAGCTTTGCTTTTTCCTAACTGCACATAGACTGTAAATAAAGATGAATGACATGACAGCGCCCAAAAGTGAAGCCAAATTGTCTCTTTCACCTGATGACAGGCTGCAGTACAGCTCATAAATTCCATAATTCGTAAATGGGCTGTTTTATTGTATCGTGCATGTTTATCAGTGCATGTATCTGTTTTGTTTTTTCTTTTAATTTCTCTGAACCAAATTGCCTTTGGGATTGATAAAGTTTTAATGCATTGTAAGTCCCGCCTCTATATTGATGTATGGGACATGATCCAGATTAAAGAGACTCTGGCTCTAAACGTGCAAGATGTCAGCGTTCTTACCTGGAATATTTTAACATCATTTCTGGATAGTGGAGACACAGACTCCATCTATATATTCAGTCTATGGAATTCCAAATGCTACCATGCTAAACTAAAATTGCAAACATGGTATATATTTACACCTGCTTAGCACCATGATAGCATTTTCATCTACAGCATTTTGAAATGATGACACTCCTCATATGATGAGGAATTCACTTGTACCCCCAATAGGGAAGTCTGTAATTATAGCATATTTCTCACCAACATCCTGCA